TACATGAGGAGCAGTTTGCACAAAGCTGAGCAACCAAACTCAGAGGCCTTGCTGGATGTTTTGACATAGAAAACGTATCTAATATTCAAGGCAATATACTTCAGTATAGCATCACTTCTAGAAGTATTCAGTTTGAACATTCATGTTTCTATTCAGAATATTCACTTTTTTTTAAGAAAAATCTGTATGTGTCATATGTAATTAAACAGAATGGGGCATCATTGGAAGGGGGTGAATATTTTTGCAAGCGATTGTAAATATCTAGAACAAATTCTTGTTTACAGGATCTGCAGTACCTTTTAATATATGAATAAGGAAATGCAGAATACATAGCAAACAGTCTTTCAACTCAATAAGAATAAAATATAGAATGCTCTTCACTGTTAATGGTCTTACTCTGTGATTGATGGAAAAGTATCTACCCAGGCAGGTAGATTTTGTTTTATTCAAAATGGCTACCAAATGCACACAACCCCATTGGTCTCAACCAGACTTGTAAGTTAAGTAAGTTAAAACGAGAAAAAATGGTGATTAGTCATGGTTAGCTCAGGGTCTCATTGGTGATGCTACACTGCCAAATCCTGGGCATGTTTGATAATTATGTGCCAAAGCCCTAGGAGGTTATGGCCACAGGGGACCAGCAAAGCCAGGATGTGTATTAGCATCCTTAAGGCTATGGTTATTTCCTGTTCCTTTATTGGAGGCATTTCCCTGATGGGTCATATGGAATCTTCACATTCATCAGTCCTTCTGCCAGAAATGTTAAACAACACGGCACATAACAGTTAAATCAGAAAAATTTGCAGCAAAATTTACATCAAAAGGAATGTCTTATAGATAAGGCAGGATGAGATAAAAAACAAAATGAAGCAAAGTGAAAACAAAGATAGAGAGTCAGGCTTGAAGCCATTCCTGATGTTAAGTAACCCACAAAAAATCAATGAAATGATCTTTTTGTTTTCTCCAGTGAAATGGGGTACAGATTTCAGATGCCTTCTCAATTTTCAAGCACTACAAGAGGTTCCGTCATAATTGTAGAAAACACACAACTATAAAAAGAAACAATGCTGTCATGGACTCTGTGACACAGAGTAGAAATCTGCTCTCTTTCCCAGATTAAAACCCTGAGGGCTTTCTAGCTTTTCTGTGGTAGACTACTATCACATGTAGTCCTTTCATTAGCTGAAAGGGTCTTTGACCTTTAATGTCACCGTGGCTCGTTCATATCTTAATGTAGCCCAGCCTCCCAGTGTTGTAGTTTTATGACTCAAAAGGCTCTCACTGTTCGTAACTTCACTTGACTTAATTGTTCCCAACCTGGTCAAGAGTCCCTTGGGATGAAAAATCATTAAACAAATATCAGGATCAATAGCACATGAAAAAAGATCTTTAAATCGCTGTAGGATTTCCTCTGCTAACACAATCTGCAAACAACAGAGAATTCATAATGCAAACATGCAAAAAGGTTGGTACAAACACAGTGTGCAAGTAATTGTCTGTCAGATTGCATGAGCTATAGTACAACAAACTTTATTAACTGAAAGCAAGTCATGACCTTTAAATACTTCCCCTACATCCATCCCCTTTTCTTCTGCTTTTTCCCTAATTTGCCTGACCTACTGGTTTCCAAAAAAGCAGCAATTCTAGTTATTTAGGCAAAAATGCTGTTCTTATCATTGTCGTAGCTAAAGTGTGGCATTACAGCAGCCCAGTTATTATGAGGCAAAGTTGGACATCAACCTACAATTTCGATAAGCATGCATAATATTTCCTGTTAACATGCATCTTTACATAAATTAAAAAATTCCTGTCACTTAAGATGAAAAAAATGCATTTTTTGTCTTCTTGAATTCCAGTTTAACACAATATTAATTTGAATCCTATTTTGTAACTATTAAAAAGAAATGCATACATTTAATTATAAAACATCCAATAATTCCTGAACCTATCTGAAGTTCAGAATATTTTTTAATATTGAATGAGATTGTAATACTGCTGTATGAGGTAATACTTCTACTACATACTTATTATGAGGTAATACATTTTGCATTTACTCACAATAATGGATTAATAGATACATTTGTCTCTTGCCACACAACCATCTTAAACTATGAAATTATTGCTGTATCAGCAGTTTAAGGCTTATTATTCAGGGCAGACTTGGCGTTTCATGACCAATTTGCATTTTCAAAAATAACCATATTAATGTTATTCGTGTCATGCGAGGGAAATGAATTGGTTCGTTTTTTTAACATGTAGTTCAAACACTATACTTGTATATAGTAAACTGAGTGCATTCTATCAGCACTCCTATGCTACACAGCTATCCCTTTGCTTACATTTTGTGTTAATTAATTTTATAAAATATGGTTGACGTATTGATAACTAATTTCAATAGTCAAACTTCTATATATTAAATAAAACGAAATGAGCATAACAATTATTATCTAAGAAGCTTCACCTTTTTATTCTTAACATGTCCTAAACGTAACATAACAGGTAGGACTTGCTTTGTGATTTACCCTTTTCCTCCATATTGCGATACAATCTGAAAGTGATAGATTTCTTCATCGACCTTGAAATTAAAAATGCAGCCTAGCCACATTGGTAGGATTCTTGACCTCAATTAAAAATTACATGTTTGCTGCTGTTTTTACAATTTTTAGCTTGTTTGCCTTATTTTAGAAGAAAACAATGTTGTTTTTTTTTAATTCAACCTCCCTGCCACCCTCTGCATAGCATGGACGTGTTGCAACCTGCCTTAGCAACCATGGTTTCATCACCAAGGACAGCTACCGTGATTTGATTTGCAGTTAATTCTGACAATTGCCATTACACCTCTAGAAATAACCCGTATCATGTATTACTTACATTGTTCTGCTTTTGTAGACATGTTCAAAGCCTTTCTCGAAAAAAACAGATCAACGCTTTTTCGTCCCTGCGGTGTATTTTTTCTTAGTCCCGATCAGTAACAAAAGTGAATGAACCCCTTGCGCTCTTGCTGGCTTTGCTTATACCACTAATGTCTAGGCGTTACTAAGTCTTATTTTTAACCTAAGCTCAGCATCGTGAGAGGGTTCTTTTAATAACCAGCGTCTTGGTATATCCAGCTTTAATCCGTGTCATACCACCGTCTATACTGTAGTTGCAACTGTTCCTTCCAAAAAGACGGCTGATGAATTATAGGAGCTAAACACACCTTTTGCAACAAATGGATTGATCCAGCACTGACAAATTGCCATTCATAAAATGATTTTCTTTTAGTGCGACCCTCCATCTTTCTCTTTTAGATTTTCGGTCTGTTTGGATTGTCAGGGCAAGGCAGTTTTATGTCGTTTTATTGTAGAATCAATTATTTGAAGTGTCATATCCATTTCTCTGCAGTTGTTTCAAAGGCGCTATCCTTTTGTAAGCAACAGATGGTTTCAAATGTCATCAAGATATGTAAAACAAAAACGCTCTCCGTCGAATGGTTATTCTAATATGTTAATGAGGATTGACAACGTTTGTAGATAATCTTATCCATGTGTTTCCCGAAGAAAGCCAGGGTGACCGTTTCAGTACAGCTGAAATTCCAAGCTCCAAAAACTTTTTTGTGCGTTATTGTAAGTTAAAAGTTGTTCTCCTTAGTTTCTTCTTGTGGTCTTTGGTTTATGTTTCACCGAGGATCATTGGTTTCAACAGTGCAACTTTATGGTCACTATTCCTTATTCATTCATTAGTACGTTCTTGTTGGTTTTGTTGCTTATTCACTTTAAGGTTCCTGTACCAGAGTTTCATGAACTGAAAGATTATGTCTAATTGTCTGAATGTAAGCTTTCTATAGACCTATATACCTTACTGAATCAGAAACCCCTCAGAGACCAGGATTTAAAAGCTGCCATAAATGTTACTCCAACCTTCAAAACAATGCATTTATAACTTTGTCCATATACACACAGCTGCTTCTTCCAAGAAGTCGAAATGCCCTGTCCTCTCTTCTATATTATGATAGAAAATTTCCATGTAAAAAAAAATAGTCTCTTATTTACTTCATGCAGTTTTTTTGTACTTAGAGTTCTGGGCTTTAACCCTTGTGTTGAATGTTAGGCACAATCCTATGCAACATTTTAATGAACAGTTGTGTTCTTCACAACTTCACAACAGTAATATTCTTTATAATTGTTCTATCATTGCAGATGTCACATGCTTTAAACCTCTGATCACAAACAAAGACATGAACAAACTATAATAAATTATAATAATGTAGCTGTGTTATTGATCAATGAGGATGTTGGCTTGTGCAGAAACTTTTTCCAAGACATTTGGAGACATTCCTTGACATAATAGCTTCATGGGTAACTCAACTCTAGTAACAGTTAAGATTAAACTAGTTCACATGGGGACTACAGTACTGTTAATGTGGTATTTGTACAAGAAATATATGACAAAACAAGTTACCTGCATATTTATATACAGTTATATTTAACTTATGTTTAATAACACCATGTGACTAACAATAAAAAAACATAGCTTTAAAAAATCATGTAGATTTCATTAATATTCAGCATTATTTGAATCTTATTTATTTATTATTTCTGTTTTATTTCTTGGCTTTTGTGCTTCTGTTATAGAAAAATGTAGATTTACATCAAACATGTATGACTGAAAAGCTTCCATTCATTAACTTTTTACTGTTTTTTAGAACTAGTGCTTCAACTTGGTTTAATTCATCTGTCGGTAACAGAGAACTTTTAGCTGAACTTAAAACCCAGAGCACCTTGAGGAACAATCTATGTGCAGTAGCTTCCATTAAACAACAAAACAAAAAAAGAGAGAAAAAGAGATGAGAAGATATTGTATTGTATTGTATTTGTATTTTATTTCTGTAGTGCTACATGGGTAATGGCTGTTTATTTAAAAGTTTATTTTATTTATTTTTTGATAGTATGTCTATCTGGTTTCCAGGAAACGATTTACAATGTAGAATTCCCCTGATGAAAAATAAACAGACTTTCAGCTTTTGCTAAAGTGGGGAGGAAAAGGATGACCTTCAGGGTTTATGTTGCTCTTTGCCAAGATCAACTTTTCCTATCTCAGAAAGATGGAAAGCAAAACCTTCCTTTCCATTTCTTGTTTCTTAGGCCATCTTCTGAACTGTCCCCACCTGCCAGTCCTAGAACTTGCAATACTAAGGTTATAAAAAGGTTGTGGTAGACCATCCTGAAGTTGTCAGGTGAGCTAGGTCGCTTTGTAAATACTGGACAGATTTGGGACAGCATAATATCTCTTGGATATATACAACAGTTTTGATCAACAGTACTATCACTGATATGTCATTAATATGTAATTAGTTTTGTTCTTTATATTGGGGTAAATCTACCCTTTCATTTATATTTTTTTTTGCCATGGTGTTGCCTAAGCAAGAGATTTAATCCCCTGACTTAGTTCATTTGGGGGAGTTGTTGCTGAGGAAGCCTTGTCTCAATTTGTCCCTACCTGGAAAGACTTACAGGTTAAGCCCATTTCTAGGCAGCTCCATTCGTTTTTTTTTTAATGAAGAATTTTAAACTTATGTTAAATTTTTAACTATATTTTTTAAATTTTATGTCTGTGTTGATGGTGTTTTGGTTTTCTGAAGGATAAGCCTTGATTTTTTTTCTGTGCGCAACAAAGGGTGAGATTTTGTTTTTAAACCATCAATGTCGTCGTTGATGGTAATTATGGGACAAATGCACCACCAATAGAGGCTCAGAGTCATTATATTGTGTGAATGTCCCTTATCTGTGATGGACTGGCCACCCATGCAGAGCATTAGACTCCAGCTCCCTGTACTGGATAGAGGAGTAAGAAAATGAATGAATGAATGGATGGAATGGTTCTTACCAACATCTTTGAGAGACAGCATCATCACAGTCACAGAAAATCTGCATTCTGTGTAACATTTTTATTAGAATATCCAGTGGCACCAATTAAGTACCATAATATGTGAATCATTTTATGGATAATTTTTTCAGTGCTTTCAGCAAGTACGGTAACTGTATGCCTGTATAGTTATCTATCTGACTAAAGCCCAGTCTTATTAATATAATCCGTTTTGACACACTATTCACATTTAACAGCATTAGCACATGTTGAGTAAAACATTAGAATCTGTTCACTTGCCCCTGTGCTCCCTGTATGGCCATATGTTGACAGTTGTGCAGAAAGATAATAATAATAATAATAATAATAATAATAATAATAATAATAATAATAATAATAATAATACTTCACTCAAACTGAGCTAATGTGCATCCCCACCAGGATGATGTGACGGCAGCCATAGTGCGCCACACCACACAATAGCTATTAGTGGGGAGGAGAACAGAGTGATGAAGCCAATTCATAGATAGGGATTATTAGGAGGCCATGATTGGTAAAGGCTAACGGGAAGTTTGGCAGGACAATGGGATAAGACTCCTACTCTTTTAAAAAAACACCATGGTATTTGTCATGTCCACAGATAGTCAGGATCTTGGTCTTACATCTCATCCGAAGGACTGCGCCTTTTTACAGTGTAGTGAGGGAGGTATTAGGACCCACACAGACCACAGGGTGAGTACCCTCTACTGGACACCTCTTCCAGCAGCATCCTTAGTTTTTCCCAGGAGGTCCCCCATCCAGGTACTGGCCAGGCTCACACCTGCTCAGCTTCAGTGGGTTTCCAATTGTGAGTTGTAGGGTGATATAGCTGCTGGCTGATATTGGAAGTATTTGTTTTGAAATGACATGGCTCTGTCTTATGTGTTGGAGCTCATAGCATTGTGTGAAGATATTGTCAATATCATTCCAAAATGACTTTTTTTTTTCCTTCTGAAATCTACGAAGCAAATAAAAAATTGCAAACACACTATATGTGTCACAAATACGTCTTACACTTCTGTGGAAATCTATTCAAAGGTGATCGTACTTCACCACAGCTCTGAACCCGTTTTATAGTTGCATATTTTATGGCCTTTAAAATATGATTTATGTGGGATACCATGTAAATATGTTTTCATTAAGATGACATGCAAACAATTAATAAAAAAGGTATAACAGGAAAATAATGCGCAACATTAAGTTTTCCTTTGTCAAGCATACAAAAATGGGCAGACATCCTCTATTAACCATGATGCATACTTTTGCTGACAAATCTTTAGCTATTGTCACTTTAGATGTTCAATCAGTTCCTAATAACTCTGATACAGAGACAAATTGGATTAGGAGCTTGTTTTGTATAACTCACTCATGTAAAAATGAGGCTAACAGTACCCACGAAAGGAGGTACAAATGCCATGGATGCAGAATTCTTAATAAAAGTTTGGCTGTGCTGAAGCTTTAGGTAGGTTGGATTAAGTACAGTATAGAGATTAGAAACTGTATTTATCATTGTGCTGCGGATGAGGCTGCGCCCATCCTGCAAGAGAGACCAATAAGGGATCAATGCTGAAGCTGGCTTTAGTTAGCAGACCAGTGAGTAGGTACTGGTGATGGTTCTGGTTGCTAAACGGGGGGGGGGGCTGGATAATGAAGAGAGAAGCGGGAACAAAGAGAATTGCAAGGCCGCTAACAGAATCGAGCTTGAAAATGGTGAATGCAAATACCTTCACCTGACTTACCTATATCTGTATTGTTCCTTTTGAGGTAAATGGAGAAACAGGGATAATGTTTTGGGGGGCATTTGAAGGACGCTTTAATGACATTAGCAAATGGACCCAGGAAAGAAGAGGTTTGGGACCTCAAAGAAGCGGAATGACCAAGAACCCCAAAATACAGAAGCAGAACCTTTAACTGTGGTACGTGGTGAGAGTTATTAAAGTTGATTAGGCTCTGCATCCATGCAGTAGTGTAATATGATTAATCATTGCGAATGAAATTCCTTAATGAAGAATTCTGCACTGCTGAAGACGTTAGCACATGGTTACTCACTATTGATTGTGAAAGCGTAGTGTGTCAGAAGGAATGGCTGTCTGAGTAATTGGTAGTGGACACAGGATGAGATACAAAACTGTTTTCAGAGAAGGATTTCATAGAACAAAGTGTCATTCTGTGTAATTCCACTTTTATTTCATACAATTGGATGGATACCGACAAAGATGAATGGAAATATGGTTTTAATATATTATTTTTTCATTTATAATA